TAAAAACTGCAATGCAAAATTTCTCCTTATGTAGATAGGCATAGTATGTACTTTAATATTATTTATAAACAATTCTTAAACTTGAGAATATTTAGCATAGATACAAGGAAGACATGGTACCATCAATGGAATTTAGTTTGATGTGTAACTGTCACCCCACTCTATGGGTGGCTCCCTGGTGACCGTGAGTAGTTAGAGCTTATGTGTTAGCTGACATCAAGGTCAAAGTGTACAGTGGAATTAACCCTACTGTCTAATACTTACTAAGCGCTGTGCAGCATGCCCTCTAGTGAGTCCTATGCATGCATTCATTCTCTCATTTAACCCTCACAAGAATTCTATGACAAATCTACCTTTTTCAGATGAGAAATGGGACCTTCCTGTAGAAGGTCATGCCATTTGTTCAACATGATAGTTAGCCAACTGGTGGATCATATTTTGAACCCATCTGAATCTGGATCCTGACTGCCTAACTATAAGAAACCAGAAAAGAAAATTAGTCTCTCTCTTCTTTCTTTACATCTCACTTTTTGTGCATGTGTACACACATGCACACACACACACACACACACACACACACACACACATTCTGAGAATCTAGAATAACCCCATCCAAATAATAGATCAGAAATCTAATTCACACTAGGGTGGAAAAGACAAGAGGAAACAAAGTAAGCAGTAGAAGTGCTCATAACCAAATCTAGTTACCCTGCTTACTGGATCAGTGGGTCATCCCTCTAGAAGCAGGGCTGTTGCAAGTTTCTCTTCTACATGTATATGTTTTTGTTAATAAACTTTTGATTAAACCCCCAACTGTTGATCCCAATTATATCAAATGAGAAAGTTCCAGTATAGGTACTTTTTTCCAGGCCTGTTACATGAATCTGTAAGATTTTTAGGACATATTTTTAAAAGCAAAACAACTTTAAAACAAATCAACCCACAAGAATAAAAGGGGGAAAATTTTGCTTCTAAACCATCCAGTCAGTTCAAAAATATATCTCCAACTCAAGGAAATCAGTGAATGGCACTGTTGGAAAGAACTGAGCTCACTATAAAGTACAGACCCATTTCCTATGGAAAACCCAATGATTTATTTCTTCAGCACAAGCTTTACAGCAAAGAATGCCATTGAACAGAAGGCCTTCTTCTGACTGAATGCACACTCTACCAACAGAAGATATACAAGCAAAGAGGAAACACGTTGTCTAGAAAAAATATACAATTTCCTTTTATTTCCTCTTCTAAGTAGAACAACTCATCTTTGGGAACCAAATCAAGGACTTAGAACAATTCACCACACAAAATTTTCCATTCTCACAGCCAGTAAAAATTAGAAACCAGGATAGTCAATGAGGATGGCCTAGCTCTTCCCAGAAAGGCCGGGGTCTCTGTGGTGGGATAGTTCTTTTATTTTTTTCTGCTGAGAATATATATTACTTTATTTTTTTGCCCTGGGGGTAAGTTGCAACATTTATAGAAGTTCTTACAATATATCAAATATATCATACTTGAATTCACCCCCTCTATCATTTTCCTTTATCCCCTCCATTCCTGGAATAGTTTCAACAGGTCTCATTTTTTCCATTTACATACATGTGCACACAGTATTTGCACCATGTTCACCTTCCTACACCCTTTCCCTACCTCCTACCCCCTCCTACCAGCACCAACAACCCCAGACAGGATCCGTTCTGCCCTCCTGTTCACCGATTTTTATAAAAAAAAAAAAAAAAGTTTTATTTGTTTAAGATAGCTATATAGGGAGTTTCCTTGTGATATTTCCATGTATATATGTATTATAACCTGAATTGGTTCATCTCCTCTATTTTTCTCCTTTCTACCTTAGTCCTGTGGTGGATATTTCATATGGACTTCATTACATCTCTTTCATGCTAAGAAAAAAAAGAAAACTATGTCACATAATATGTCATTATTGAGGGGTTTTGTGTGTGTGTGTGTGTGTGTGTGTGTGTGTGTGTGTGTACGGAAAATGGACTGTAAGACAGGGCCACAAACTGGCATCAATGTTGTTGGGAAAAGACAGATGGCCAGGATCACGGGTAGTTAAAAAGGCCCTTCTGACATTTCTACATTTTTTTCATATATTACTTAGGAAGTAAAAATGACTAAAAGAATGAAGATACAATGCCTGGAATGCAGGATCCCCCCAAATAAGTAAGAACTAATTAAGTGAAAAATATACAGATTCTTTAAGTTCTCTGCATTTTACTACAGCTTGGCAGAAACATCATGGTTTGAGGAAGAGTGTGGGAAACAAAGCCATAAGGATGGGTAAGGTATAAACTGGAGCCTGTCGAAGCACTGGGGTGGGTTGTAATTTATTCACTGGCCAGTTCTGGAGCCAAAGAAGGTTTCTGAGAAGAGCGGAGTCATGACTATAACTATGGAGATTAGCTGGAGAACATTATAGGAAAGTCCAAGGGTCAAAGAAATGAAAGGCCCCATGTGCTGAAGGGTCTTTGGCTTGTTAATTTTCACTGTCTTTGTTTACAGTTTATTTTTATTTTATTTTAGCCACATCAATCCTATGACTTCGTATAACTTTTCAAAGAGCTCATCTGTTTTCTTTTCTGGTGGAACTGGGGTTTGAACTCATGGTTTTACATTTGCAAAACAGGCATTCTACTGCTTGAGCCACCAGTCCATTTTGTTCTGGCTATTTTGGAGATGTGGTCTCATGAACTCTTTGCCCTGGCTGGCCTTGAACCAATAATCTCCCCAATCTCAGCTTCCCAAGTAGCTAGGATTACAGGAGTGAGCTACCAATGCCAGACTGAGATCATCTATTTTCTATAATGTTGCCTATTAGAAAGAATATACAGGTCTTTCTTATTGATTACTCAATGAAATCTGAGGTTTTTTCAGAGTTCTAATGCTTAGAAAATACTGGACCTATATTTGACATGTTTGCCGTTAGCAACTTAGAAGTGTGATCAGCAAAGTATAATGGAAATGCCATTTTTTTTTTTTTTTTACTTCTGAGACTAAGTCAAAAAAAGCCTTGCAGTTTCTCTTCAGTTACCATAGCACTGTCTCTGGGAACCCTGAGTGCAGATCAGAAGACTGACACCCCAACTCCCTGATTCCCCCAACATAGAGAGGTCGTGTGTGTGATCCAGAGGACATGCCCAGATATGCAGATGTCTAGCCAATCAAAGCACAGAACTGTAATTGAATAAGCACCCAAATTCTAGACTCCAAGTTTTAGAGCCATTGCCATATGCTAGAATCCTCCCGGCAGAGGCCCCAGACATCCTGGAGCAGGGACAAGCCTTTTGCTCTGCTCTGCCTGTATTCTTGATCCAAAGAATACATGAGCATCATCAAATAGTGGATTTTTACACTATTCAGTTCTGGGGCAGATGATTAAGGAACAATAGATAACTGAGCCTACATGTACAACAGGACAGGGGAGAAAGCCACTGGTTACAGAAGCCGCACTTGGAATATGAGACTTACTTCTGAGTGACACATTTCAAAAGATTAAAAAAGAAACATGCTCAGAAAAGAATAACAAGAATGTTCTTTTATGGGGAAAAAAATTAAAAGACTGGAGATACTCAAACCAGAGAAGAGAACAAAGAATTTGTGTTAATTGTCCTCAACTATTTAAAGGACTATCGTGAATGACAATGAAAAAAATTATTCTGTGTATTCCTGGGAGCAGGCCTAGAGAGACTGGGCAGAAGATAGAGGCAGTCAGGTGGAAGATTTTCTAATATTCTGAGTTTTCCAGGAAGGAAGAGGCAACCTTAAGAGGCAATAAGCTCTCTAACATTTAAGGTAATCAGGCCTAAGATGGATGATTGCCATGTGGTTGGTAGGTTTGGAGAGAACTTATTTATTGAACAGCAGGCTGAATGAAATGACTTTATTTTAACGTTATACTGTAACACTGAGATGTTTTTAATCTAAAGATCATCCCCACGTCCTTAATGCTAAGAAATCTAATCCTAACACATGTGGAGCAGAGGGAAAAAAATACAAGATGAGTAAATTAAATGAAAGACAATACCAAAGTATAAATAGAAAGTGATGCAGAATTCAATAGGGGAAAGGAATGGCAAACCAATAGGAAAATATAATCCAGCATAGGAGGAAAGAAACTTTAAAAAAACTGGACCATGAACAACAAGCCTAGGGAGAGTTACGGAAAAGGAAAGTCAAAGAACCCATCATATGATCCTGGGTACAAAGGATGCCTGAGACCTTGAGAAATGGTTTTATTTATTTTTGAGACTTTTCTACTCCATAGGTGGGAAAGATAGACCAGAAGAACCTGGCTACTATGGCAACAAAGAGAACAAGGTTCAAGTGGTGAAACAGGCAAGGCTTTTCAGCAAGTACTGTATTTCTACCCTCAAAACACAGGATTGGTGTGCCTGTGGGGGCCAAGTGCATTTGCATGGATACCAGGTCTCTGGTGTCTGTATTTAAAGACTAAAGGGAGCAAGAAAAACCAGAAATTAAACTCCTGGTTTCTAAAGAAGCCAATGTGAAATAGAAAACACAGACCACCTAGAAAATGAGATATATTCAAAACAAAGCCATGGGGGAACCAATAAAAGAAAACATTAAAAAGTTATCTCCTACACATTTCATCTGAATTTTATCACCATTTGTGATCAACTTCCAAGGTTTCATAATGCCTTTGGCCCCAGTTTCCCAACCCACCAAACAAGTCATCTCATTGTTACTTCATTTGAAGGAAGAGTGGAAACTCCTTCCTTTGATGTTGACAAGAGATAGAAAAGGAGTTCCTCCTCCCCCTTTTGGGAAAGGAAAGTGTTTGTAGTAAACCCTGGAGCTTCATGGTAAGAAGTGATCATTTGTTGTTTGCCATAACCCTTTCAACGACTCATCAAACCAGAAGTTAAAGGTATGTTTCATCTATGAAATAAAAATATTTTTCCTTTGTTTTATTAAGAAACAGAAAATTTTCTTTATAAGAACAAAAATTATGTCTTATCACTCACCCACTTCCTAGGTCTGCCTCTTGGCCGTTTTTCTCCAGTGGCTTCTGCTTTCTGCAAAATGAAAAAGGAAGTCATATAGTTTCCTAACCTGACATTATTTATAAGTGCTGCACCAAGGGACATGCTTCAAGTTAGAATGCTCTAGATTGCAGATGAAGTTTCAAGATTTTTAACAATCTCTTTCTCCTTCAAGGTTTGTCATCTTCTTTGTTGCTTACTGTGTGATGTAAAGAGGCATTTATGTAACCCTCAGCATAAAAGACTCCCCTGAAGCCATCTCTTCTGAAATGCATGAACATGCTTTGGTTATATCTGTTTTTCTGTTATTTCTGTTCATAATTTAAGAAATAGTCCCACATCCCATAATTACATAAATTAGTATTTTAGAGAACGAATGTTCCTTAAAAAACAGATTCTCTTTCCATGCTGCAACTAGCATTACAAAACTTACTAAGCATTTGTGCCTACACTGCTGTGAAAGGCAAATCTAAATGTAAAAAAAGGAATACATAAGCATTTTGATTCAAAATAATAAATATCTGCCCACTTCTATGTGGTTAATTGCCTATTTCATGTCCATAAGAATCAGCTATCAATCAGTGCACCTAAAGCAAAGAGAAAGAGGGAGGGGAACAAAAAGCTTGTAATATCGTCACTGTTTGTCCCTGAGATGGAAACTATGGATGCCAAAAAATAATTATTAATTAAAAATGTACATTAGTAGCAATAATTCCATACTCAACACAAACTTGACATGAACACCTTCAGAGTTTGTTTCATTGCTTTATTTCATAGATTTTTCTGGTACAGTTGTTTTCTTCCCTTTGAATCAAATTTTAGCATTATTTATAAAGGACTTAACCTTTTTCCCATTTTTTTTTTGTCACCCATGCACCCATCTCCAACCACACCAATTCATCAACTTGTGCACACACCCACAACACATCTACCTTCCATACAAACATGTTTGTACTTTTCTGGATAAAGGAAACACATATTGTTCTGTGTATGAGAATCATCCCAAAGCTATCCCCATGCAAAAATACAGGTAATCTGAGCCAGAGGAAAGTGTTTTGCACTTTTCTTTTGTTGTATGGGTTCACAGCCAGTGGGCACTTGGTACAATGATTCTAAAATGTGAGGTTTCATGACTGTTATGACTAAGACTGCCAAATCAAAGCTTCCTCTTTTTTTCTCTTCAATCTGCCTAATAAAAATACATGAATATAAATGATAGTTTACATCATACACATAAATATATTTAGATGCATATATGTCATCAATGATAGACAGATAGACCAATAAGCAATCTGGTTTCACCATCCAGCAGGTCCATAAATAAACCCAAACTGTGTGATTGTAATGTTTGCTCACATTTACTAAGCATTTAAAATGTCCCCAGGCATTATGTGTTACTTTAATCCTTACAGCAGCCTTATAAAGTGAGTATATTATTTCTCTTATTTTGCAGATAAGCTACTAAGTCTTCGATAAGTTAGGTGGATAACTCACGCAAGGTCATACACAACATAACTGGGATTTGATTCCAGTTCTGTTTGATTCCAAAGACTGTGCTGCTATCCACTAAACAATGTTGCCTCCACTTAGTACAACAGCATCTGCTATCAGAGAAAGTATTTCAGGAAACTAAAACTGTAACTGATTCAGCTAATTTCCCAGAACAAAAGGAAATCTGGTGGCTTTTAGGACCCCTATCTAACCGTCAGATTGGGGTTCTGTGAATTGTTATTTTGGAATGGCTCCACCAAGGAACCATTTATGGTCAGGGTTAGTGGAATTGAATTAACCTAAGTGAAAACCAGAGTGTCCAACATACCAGACTGCCTTTCAGAGATCTGTCTCTAGAGGCAGGGAGGTGTCCTGAGAGGAAAACGAACTCTACTTTAGAAGGCTTAAGTCCAAATCCCTGCTCTGCCATTTTAGCTTGATGATCTGGGGCAGGTCCCTGGACCCTTTAATTTGGTTTCATCTGTAAAGCACATGTAACATCTCCTGTGAGGAGACATCAAGGTACTTGGAAGTGCCCGCCATAAATGAGGTGCCCATAAATGTTCTTTCACTCCTAACAAGATGGAACCCTTAAAGGCAAAGGTGACCTTCAATTCAGTCCAATCTCACAGACGGTTCCGTCAATGCAAAAACACTCCATTGTACCTGTCAATCACCTTTAGAAGAAAGCTTTTAAGAAGCTCTCTGGCTTGTGCATAGTGGGTGACAAGTATACAAAATTCTCTGTACAGAAGCAGCATCTGATTGAATCTTTGGGAGCAACTGTAAGATCACACGGTTTACCCAGTACCAGTAGTAAATATGGAACAGGGAAAATAGAAATCCTTTCTAATGGGAATGGAGGTGGCAGCTGGAGTGGAGGGAAAGGACTATTGACCTTAAAGCTAACGGTGTTCCACTTTTCTGTACAGTTGTTATGTTTCCTGGGTGATGACGTGATCTGGGTGTATCTTCATTCTATTGAAGAGAAGAGATTTTTCTAAAACAGTTTCACTACATTTCCAAGTAAGAGACAACAAATCTCTCAGAGAAAGAGGAAGCCCTGCAAATAAGATGACTTTAAAATGAGCATGTCTTTTACAAAAAGCCTATTGTGGAATAAAATTCATACCATTAACTAAAGGGCACATATCATGATTATCACTTGGACTTGTTAAAAGCAAACTTGCTCCCTGATCGCACAGGCTGGTGTTCCATGTAAACTGAAACCCTCTTCTGAGACGACATCTAGAAGAAACACATTAGCTGTGCTGTGTGGCCTCAATCTGGGAGGTTTTCATTGTTCTTTAAACCCACCGTATTTAATCATTCTAATCAAACTCCACAAAGGCTGCAAAACAAGTTAGGATTTTGGTTGGTAATCCAACCAAGATCCAGGATTTTTACATATTGGAACATACTGGCTTCATCACTGTTTTCCTGTGTTTAGTGTTCTTCAGGTTATTGTTTTTCAAAGAAGACAAACAAAACATGCAGGGGACTTGCTTTGTTTTAATATATCAACATAGGCAACACTGTAGATGTGTATATTTGGTTTTCTTTTGCTGGGACAGAGTTTGGTTCTATTCTACAAACCCATGAGTAATTGAGACATAAGTAGTTCTAAGTATTTACTGCTTTCATAGAGGGAAGAAAGAGATAGCAGGAATTCTGCATTTGAAAGAACTAAAATCTCAGGCTATTACAAGCACTATTATACTAGTATTCACAACTATCGCATCTTATTAAAAGGGCTATTGCTTCCTTGTGTGTCTTCATTTACACTTTTCTTTCTTTTTTCAAGGTGAGACTCAGAACTGTATAGTTACTTTTATAATATACTTAGAAGCAAGTTCAGAAAGGAATGTTACATGGGAAATGTACTTCCTACTCTAAGACACTTTAGAACTCCAGGCTCTTTAATATATTCCACATTTAAAAAAAAATTAAGAAAGAAAATTCATCTAACAAGTATCTCTCCTGAATTTGGAAACAGTGCTTGGCAGCATTAGTGTCTGATGTACAAGAGGTGTTCACTGCATACTTATGGAAGGAACAAAAAGAAGGGAGGGAGGGAGGGAGGAAAGGAGAGGGAGAAGGAAGGGAGAAGCACTAATGTTTATATGTCTTATTTCCTTCTGGAGCTTGGTAAAACTTTGAAAATCATTTCTTGTAGCTCTCTCATTTAATAAACAAGAAAACTTCTGGATTGCTGAAATCCTCAAATCATATGGTTTATTATGGGGCCAGAAGTCTGTGGGATCAGTGATGGAAGATCCATACTTAATAACCCCTTTATATGCTTGTAGATAGTGACCCAAAAAAGTTTCTCAAAATTTAACTTCCAACCTGCATTTCAGGTCACTGGGGATAACAGAACTCTACCTTGTGGCAAATAATTTTACAAAATACTTGACAGCATCCAGTACTGAAAAAGGTATAAGCTTTAGAATTAAGAATTGAATTCAAACCCAGATGCCACCACTTTCTAGAGTTGAACATAGACAGGTCACAATTTACAATTCTGAATCACTCTCGTGTGTGGAATGAAGACCACAATAACTAACAGAGGATTAAAGGAGCAAATATTTATGTGAAGTGCCTGACAACACTGCAGCATTTGGTAGGTACTCAACTGTAATTTCTTCTCTCTCCTATTTGAAAATACTACCCTTGAAAAGTGTACCTACCAATTCTGTAAGGCTCCACAGTGATTTTCTGAGCATAATTCTCCTTAATAGGGCAGCTGTTTTTTCCTGTTTCCCACTTTATGGGAGATCAAGCGACTTGCTCACATGCGTTAGTACAAACAAAACCCGGTCTGATGGCAAGACAGTAACATGTCTGTTTTTTGGGGGATGCTCTTATAGGAAACAAAATGGTCAGGGGCAAATTTTTAAAACAAAAGAAAACTTTCTAGGGTGAAAAATCAAGTGAGCAGTTAAAAAGTGGAATATTTCCAAGAGTCTCATTATTGAGAATAATTTGATTCTAACTTCAGGTTTAGTATAGTTATTAATTTTTTTGCAATTCTAAATGCTCTCATCATATTTTGTGCATGTGGTGATGGATGAGACATGAAAGGCAGAACTCGCCTACTTGAAATCAATCTGTGCACCTGCACAGAAAAAAAAAAAAAGAACTAGGAAAACATTTGCATGTGATACTGCCTTATTTTGTCTTCATGTAGCTTGATTTGATTTGTTCTTTTTTTTAAGACTAAGACCTGCTTGGACGAGTATATGGAACCAACTAGCTAAAGTCTTAAAAAAAAAATCACAGGTTATTTCTTTGAATTGCTCTCAATCAGCTTATAGACACTGAGTAAATTCTCATTTTACCTTTGAAGTCCAGTTCTGTGGGTTTCCTAATTTTAAGTACAATCATTTTTAATCTTGAAAAAGATGCTATAAATTCTTCTTACAATATATTTTTCAGTGGGAATATGAGTAAATAATATGAGTAAATTCCATCATCCATTGTAGTTCATGCTTATTTTACCCAAGGAAAATAAGTTCTCAAGCCATTATTTTGCATGTCTGTCTTCAGGTATATAAACACTAACTTAAAATCAAGGCCAAGATGGCAAGAAGAGATATCATTTTCAAAGTCTGAGACTCTCATCCAAATCATCTCCCCACCTCTTTGGAACCAGAAAAATCAATACCAATGATGCAAGAGTTCAAAGGGAAGGGCTGGGGGTGTAGTACAGTGAGTGGTAAGAGTGCTTACCAACTGTACGTAAGATACTGGGTTCCATTCCCAACACTGCAAAACAAAACAACAACAAAAAACTCCACAATTTCATAGGAGTTACCTCTTCAGTAAACTGTTCCTACCTTATCCTAAAGCAAAGAGAATGGATGCATTATTCTTCACTAAATCAAACACAATATGCCATTCAAAATTGTTCAGGGTATTGAAGCAATATAAAATCAAACAAAAGCCTAAACTATAGTCAGTTAGTTCTCTGTTCACCCTTTTCTCCTGGTTGGCAAAACAAAGATTACTAATCAAAACTTTCAGCCTCTAAGCCAGTGAAATTTAGTTTCCATCTTTGTGCCAAACTATGTGGTTCTAAGGTGAGCTCCAGAAACTGCAGAAGTCAATTAACAAGGCAAGACAGTTGTGAATGACTTAACTGGCATAAAATGCTCTTCTGCAACTATCTGTTCTCAAGAAAGAACTGAAATGAGCACCAGTCTGGTACATTCAATCTTCTTAGCAAAATGATCTGCTGAGACCCTGAGATAAAAATGAGCCAGGGATATAGGTCATCAAAGTAATGAGAGGCTTTTACTGAAAGAGTTCAGATGATGCTAGTTTCCAGAGAATTAGAACTATGGGTTCCCTGACATAAAGGAACTACATAAAATAATTGCAATGTATTTGAATTTCCCATATTTAAATCATAATCTATGATAATTTGAAGGCATTGCCAGATATGATTTATTGATACATTAAGTAAGGCTTTGCCCTCCGTGGCAAAGTCAATTGTTGAGGTAAGTCAGCCTAAAATATCAAGATAATGGAGACAATAGTTAGGTTTTACTTCGTGTTACCTGCTTGAATTCATTTGTATACTCTGATAGGGCCCTGAATCCCACAGTGGAACTTACCTGCCCATAAAAACACAGGATTCAAATTAAATCATACCAGGATTGTAGAAACCCTACGCTGGAACTGTAGACATCTTTCTCTGACTTAATCAAACACTGATGCCTTTGTTTATTCTCTTCAGTGCTCCTACAATACTCTAAAGAAAATCCTGTCCTAACACAGCAGCAATGGTCTAAGATTTATCTGAAATGATGAGTAAAACCTACATTCTCTTCTCTGGAATTGGCGTTAGTAATAATTTATGAAAAATCAATAACATTCCTAAGAATGGAAAGGATTAGGAGCATGAATCATTTTTCAGAGTACCCAATTAATATTTGGCCTTCTTTCTATAGGGAACTGAAGGTGAAAATTAAATATTTATTCCAAACACTGTATTTGAAGCACACATTCTTTACCTTGATGGTATTTCCATTCTGTACCTGGCTCTGTAGATCTACCCATTGTACCTAGAGCCAAAAGGCAGGTCAACCAGATCTACAGCATCAGGAAACAGAGTTATCTCACATCTGAGATTCTTTTTATAACCATTTCCATTGAAATTTAATTCAACCTCAGAAAAAATTTTCCTGGAAAAGCGAGAATTGACTTTTTTGACTTACAGTGTTGAATGTGGAAGAACTAGTGACAACCCCTCCAGTGTACTCTCATGATTAAAAATGAACAACAAAACCCTGGATAAAGCATAAAGATTTATCTTCCTTCTGTTTAAACACAGAATATGTGAAAATATTTCCATATAGCACAATCATGAGAGGAAAACAAAACAAAAAGGAAATTAAGAGACAGCTCAAACTAAGAAGTGAATAAAAGGGTAAACACACACACTCGAACACTCAAATTATTTACTCAAAAAAAAAACAGCTTCTGATTTCTCTTCTTTTATTAAGGTAACAATAGGAAATTGGTTCAGGGGCAAATTTTGAGCACTTAGATTGGGGACATTCTCAGGAATGTTGACACACATAATGGTCAACCATTGGAATTAGTTTTCATGGAAGAATGATTATCTTCTCTTCCATAAGTTCCAAGCATTATGAATTGTGTTTCAGTACTTTTTACATAAATCAATTTCCTATTGAATGTGGCCTGAAATTAAAGTGATGACTAATTTAGCATCCATTTGGTCTTGCAACATTCTGGACGCATTGTCAAATTTCACACTGTTAATTTTCTAACAAGCAGTTTTCCTTTCAAAAGCCCCAAGGCCAGTTGTTGAGTCTAAACACAACCTAAGTAAAGAAACTCCAAGCAGCAAGAAATTTTGAGTACAACATCATTAGAACTCCAGTATACATGGCATTTTCTCTAATTTTATTACAGTCCTGTTCTCTCTGGTACTTACCAGTTTTTATAATATATTGCTCATTGTGGTGAATACCAGTGTTCAAGAAAATGCCCAGTCTATCGATCATAGAAGACTCCTCACATCTAGTCTGGTCAGTCTAGCAGGGTATTTTTATCTTGCATGTTCTGAACAACATAACTTTTTCTAAAAAGATTTGCAATTCAAAATCATAACAAATAAGTCCTTTGTTAGAACACAGTATGTATTTGATAAACAAGTATATGTTTGATAAAAGAGTAATACACAAATAGTCATAACATACTCAATAAAAACTGATTTGAAAGTGAAAATATATTACGTTTGAACATATTATGAATGATAGATCAATGACATTCATTATTTTAGAAAGTATTATCTTCTCCAAATGAAGAGTAATTTATAAAACTGAAGAAAAATAAGTCATGTTATGGGCAAATGTATTTATTCATTTTTATTAAAGGAAGGAATTTTGTAGCAGAATGATATGAAATAACTGTAACTGAAAGAATGAAAGATTTCAGAAAAGGACTTCTTTGGGAAGTAAAATCTACTTGTGTTTTGGAAATTATATAATATACACACATACACAAGAATTAACAGAAAGATGAGTAGCCTAATAGGGCAATTTGTAAATGTCTACCATGAAAGTCACTGAAAATCAAACATTACTTGGGAACAGACCAACTTTTTTTTTTATTGTTTTTGATTTGCTTTGGGTGGCAAATTAGGCACAGGTCTCAGCTTTCCTTTTGTCAATAAAGATGCTGTTTGCCCATGGTAAACTTTTTTTAAATGAAGAAACAAGATGGTACCATTTCTATCTGCTCATTCAAAAAAAAGTAATAAAATAAAACGTGGAAGATAATTCATTTTCCTTTTCTCTATCAAATTTCAAAGTATTTATTTATTCTGAGCTTTGAAGATTTCTTTTTATCTCCCCAGGAGACATTGTAATGATGCGTTTTCAGAGCAATTATGTCATAGCCTAAACGTTTGTTAGCTACCTACCAAGATGTTCCTTTGTTATCTCCTGAGAACAAAATTAAGTTAAATTAATCCAAACAACAGAGAATAATTCCTTTTTAGTCCTTTTTAGTCAATTTATAAACCAGGTACAATGGAACAAAGAGAAAGCACTCATATTAAGAATACCAGATTACATATTGTCATTTAAATAACAAGCTTACTTAGAGTCACTTTAAAGTTTCTTGATTAAATATGAATCATAAATCTAAACTCTAAGTAGCAATTAAATTTAAATATAAGAGAAATCTTTTGTTTCAACTCTGTTCAAAACTGTTAAAATAAACAGAAAGAACTCATAGTTACTTCCAAAGTAACTTTATATGTATCACTACACTAGTTGTTATTGTTGTGGACAACACTGAAAATCATCACATAGAATATGGTTAGTGGCCAGAATCACAGAAAAAAACACACAAAACATTAGTCCCCAAAAGATGAGCACATACTCCTTTTTAACAGATGCTGTACATGGTATATTCAAATCTATTGAGCAGACACACCAAATTTTACTTCTAATTTTTGAACCTTTGTTTTCAAAACACAATCTTACAAAATGCAAATGTCCCCCAATTTATTTAGACAGCCAAACAAGTGACTTTTATATTCATCTTCAGTTTTCTACACATGCATTTACCCTGAGATATTTCCTCTTTGCTAATTCACATGTAACCAACATGAAGTTATTCTAAACTGCAATTTAAAATTGGTGAAGAAAAATACAGAATGTTAAACTTCACTGGATTTTATCCTGTCAAAAATATACATTAAATGAGTCAAATCTTTGTTTTTAAAACTTCTCATTGTCCAACTCAAAAAACTAACACTTTATGGACGTTTCTTCAGATTATTATATACTTACTATATTGCAGGTTTCTTAATTTTTTTTGAATGTATGTTATCATCACATTTAAAGCTGTAAAGTTCATGAAATTTCTTCCAGCACCCCATAATTGGATTTACTTTTAATTATCATATATTTGGCAAAGTACTTAACTTTAATTGGGGGGCTTGGTTTGCAATAATCATGTAAAAAGCAGAATGTAAATTAATCTCTTATTTTTCAGAGGAAACTGCAAAAACTTCACCACCAGTCAAAGTCTATAGGTTTGATTTATTTTTAACTATTTCACAACTGGTGCAAACATTAATTATATCATTTTCCACTCCCCACCACTCATTCCTCCACCCCTATTTTACGGTTCTTATTATATGGTAGTACTTTTTGTTTCAAAACACTGTATCTTCATGAACCTTTTATGCTAAGCTTCAATTTAGAAAAACATTTAACTCTCATCTAACTAATGGTAAATGTTGAAAATTCGTCTTGGGTTACTCAGCAGGGATAAACCCTTAGGTGTGGATCTAGAATGGGAAAATTACAGGAAGGTTCTTGTAGTCATTGATGAAGTTGGGAGACCTTGACTTGAGAATTCTCACCTTTTGAGCTGCTTTAGAGGGACTCTTGTTTTTGCTGCCTTTTGGTCTTCCCCTGGGTCTCTTAGGAGAGGGCTCACAGGTTGGCTCCTAATTGTGGAAGGAAAAAAAAAATGCTGTTGTGGCAAGACCATCTGAAAGAAATTGACCTTGACTCTAGCTGTATTTTCTACATGTGCTGCTCAACAGAACTGTTAGAACCCATTCAGTTCACGCATAGATGCGTATTGTTGGTACAGAGTTTACAGAGAGTGGAAATGATCAGACTTGCAATCCAAAAGTTCAAAGAGGAAAATATTTTACATATGAAAACTAGTTTCCATTTCAAAATTAAAATGGTAGCAAAGTCTGAAGAGGTTGCATGCTCTAGAAAGAAAGTTATATATTTTAAGATATAAGGTTTACATGGCTATGCATTTGGCAAGTCATAGAAATCCTAAGCATTTTCTATGAGTATCACTGCCCACATACTAGCATTTCAACGATATTTCAACATCTTCCACACTGAAAAAGTGGCTTTTAATTATCTCACTATACCTGCATTCTAGGTCAATTAGAACTCAATCAACACATTCTGAGTGAAATACTGCAGCAATTATCCAAGCTCTTGAGTTCAAAATAACCCCATTCCCCCTAAAATCTCCAGATAATTATGGCAAATCTGAGGTGGGAGGTTTTGCTTGAATTATCTAGATAATTGCTTCAATTCTCCACTTCCTTTTTAGAGAGACAAGCATGGTCTCCAGTGGAAATTTAAATATATTTTTTTTACAAAAAATAAACATGTTTTCTTCAAAGCTTTCTTTTTAAGAAAACTCTTATGGGGGTGGACTGAAGAAAACCTTTAAAGGGGGGCGGGCTGTGAAGAATGGCGATATCTGAGGCGAAATTGAAACGGTCACTAGGTTTAGCAAAACTTTAAATGGCTCCTATGCCAAGTAGTAAATACCCAAGTGGTTAAGAAAAATGTTATGTTTAATATGCCAGATTCTAAATATTTATCCCGTGAATCATCTATTCACATTCATTCAGATTCGGTGATTAAATGAGACTAATTAAAACGCACGAAAGTTCTTAATGAAAATGGGATCCGATTTAGAGAATCTGGGGAAGGTTCCTTGTGGGCTTCCGTGGGAACCAGCACCAGTGAGCATCCAGAGCAAACACATCGGGGACACATTTTTCTTTCTTTGTAAACTCTGCCTTAACTCAAAGGTAAAACCTCCAACACCTCCGGATCCCACTGCAGTTTCTTTTCGGATTTTTTTTTTTTCCTCCGGAGGGTGGGGGTGCAATTAGTAGAGTTGGGAAAGCTTGGTGGCGGGTGGGAAACGGGGTGGGGGTGGTGAGGGAGAAGGGTAGGGCAGAGACTTCCTGGGATATGTAAAACAGGATTCAAACGCGGTGTAGTGTCGCTTGCTAAGAGCGGGAAAACTCAGGGGCCTCTAGATTGGCTTGTTTCCTTTGATGATTTCAAAAAGGTACAACCCTCTCAGTTTCTCTAAAATGCACTGCCTAGCAAACATTGTTCAATTTCCCCCACCTTGCTCTCAGGCAGCTTTGGAGCGCTAGGATTTTCTAATCTATTTACCACGAGGTTAGAGACTTAAGGCTATGGAACGAAAAAGTAGTTTTAAAAGCCGAGAAAGTTTAAATGTTCTCCATAGTCATATCCCACTCCAACTCAGCCCGCTGAGGCTTGGAAATTGCAGCGAACAACCCACCCCCCCGCCCCGGGCGCTGCGCTCAGCTCTGCAAGAACCGGCTGCACGCTTAATTGGTTGCATCCGCAGACAAAACCCTCCACTCCGCGGGGTCCCGGGCGCCCCTCGATCGTCCCCTCCCAGCTCCTCGCCGCTCGCCCTGGAGAAGAGCATTTAATGTCTGCAGCTCTGAGGCGTGGGATTCAGGAGCAAAAGGTGGACGAGGCGCCTGGCGAGGAAGTGGCCCTAGCTACCGTGCACTCTACCGGACACTCCTTCCTACGCGCCCTTGGAGGAGCGAGTTAACCCCGTCCCGCCACGGCCGTGGCTTCCCTGTAGTCCCTTCCCCCGGCCACCTCTGGCGCCTGCCGCCCGACATTTAAAGATCCCATAGAGCACCCAGCAGCCCGGTCCCCGCGCGCTCTTTGTCGAGAGGGCGCGAGAGCGCAAGGCCACCGAGAGCTTGGGGAGGGCACCAAGGGGGCGACTGCGGGGCTCCAACCTCCAGCCAGAAAGCAGCCAGGAGATGGGGGAGAAACAGCCTCGTATGTCCAGGACTTCGGTCCCTCCAGCCCAAACCCGCCAGTACGCCCCAGACCCCAGGGACTCCTTTCGCCGGGTTATTGCAAAAGCGGCTCACAAAGCGCCGGCAAACTCTGGTTTGTGGGACCCCGCGCTGCTTCCAGTCACCAACCGACACCGCGCGCCGCTCGGGGCGGTGCACAATAGCGAAAGTCCAAGGACGTGTTTCACCCGCCTGCCACCCCCCACCCCCCGGTAGCCCGCCGTAGCGCCCCCCCCCGCACCAAACGGCCCGGAGCGCCCCGGGGTTGCGTCGCGCACTCGTAGGGGACTCGGTTGCCCGCCCATCCCCGCGGCCGGCGGGCAGCGCACGGCGGCCACCGCCACTGGGTTCCTGCGGAGCCCTTGCAGAGGCATGGGGGTGGGCTAATGCCCCCATCACACCCGCGTACTGACTTGCTGCTGCTTCCTGGGTCGGCCGCGTCCTCTCTTCTGCGGCGCCGGGGCGGCAGGTTGTCCCTGGGCTGAAGTGGACGGCTGCCCGGCGCCTTCACCGCGTGCGCTCATCCTGCCTCCCGCCGCTACAGCCGATGCAGCCGCTTCGCCTCCGCCGCCCCGAGTCTGCCCCGCACCTTTCGGGAGAAGTGGGGAGAGGGCTGCAAACGCAGGCAGGGAGAGCGAGAACGGGCGGGCTGCGAGGGCTGCTGCTGCTTAGGCTGCCGCCGCTGCCACCATCAACACCGGACGTCCCGCGGCTGCCAAAAAGAGAGAAGGGAGGAGGAGGAGAGAAGGAGGCGCTGCCGGTGGCGGCGACAGCGAGGGTGGGTGCCGGAGGTGGAGGTGGCGGCGGCGGAGGTGGAGGTAGAGAGAGGAGGAGGGAAGAGAGCGAAGGAGAAGGAAAAGAGGGACTGAAGTTGGAGAGGCTCCTCTTTCGGCTTGGGATGAGGAGTTGCGGGCAGGGAGCACTTCAGCGGTTGGAAAGGCAAGAGACTTGGAGTGAATTGTGTCCCTTGAAATGTTAGGCGGGGAAAGAATTCCTCCTCCTCTTCCCCCCTCAGAGAAAGAGAGAGAAAGAGAGAGAGAGAGAGAGGCGGAAAGCAAAGGGAGGATGGGTAGATTCTGCCGGGACCGGGTCGGGCACCGGGCGCAAGCAAGGAACAGAGGAGTGGGTGGCACCGCGCCTCCTCGGGTGGCGGGCGCAGGCGGCGGCGGCACTAGAGAGTCGGAGAGGGACCGGCTGCTGGCTTCTTCTTCCTGCACCAAGCGCGCGCTGCCGGGGCTGAAAGTTTTCTGAGTTCCTGCCCCAGGATTCGAGTGGGATGGATGTATGCGCGCCTGCGGAGGGGGTGGCGGGATAGAGTGCCCACCTCTAATCGTGGGCGGATAAAGGGGAGGGGGCTGTGCAGGAGGAAAAGTATGAGGAGGAGGGAGGCCAGGCGGACCGCCGAGCCAAGGCGGCTGGCCGCGGGCCAGAGGCCGCGTTCGAAATACAACTGCCTTGGCGGCGGTGGCGCCCGGGTGCCACCCGGAGTCCCGCTCACGTGTTCCCGCCCGGCGGCAGGGTTAAAGGGACAGGCCGGGGATCCCGAGCCGGCTAGCCGCGGGCTTCGCTCCTCTAATTGCCCGAGGTCACACCAGGGCGGTTGTACTAGGAAGGCGCGGGAAAGTGACTGCCCCAGAGCCACGTTTTGGAGCTCGGCCTTTACCTGCGCCTCCACGGTGCGGAGCCTAACCTTTGCGGGAAGCGTCTAGGAGCCTCCGAGGCAGCGTTCTAGTTCACTGGGTGAGAAGGGGCTTCTGGGGGTAAGGGCCAGCTCCTGACAGTCCTACTGAGGGGCGGGATGCCCTCCGCACCCAGCGCGCGGGCGAGGGCTCACACACACGACATGCACAAAGATACGAACGCATGTAATCACAGGCACTCTTACTTGCATGTAGATGCACGTGCACACTCACACGGGCGCACTGATAGGCATGCACATTTGCAAACACATGCACACGCGCAAACAATGTGCACACCCGCACACGGAGCGCGCCAGCTTCATTGAGCTTTTTTTCTCTGGGAAAGACGAGGGGCGACACGAAGTCTCCCAGAGGCTGGCGCTACGCACCCGAATTCGGACGTTCCCAGGATAAAGGGAACTTCATAGAGCACACGAGTCTCCCTTCTGTTTACCTTGATTTAACCTTCTCCCTCAGAACTCGCTTTCTGCCAAGTCCTAATTTTATAGCTTGGGCTGTTTTTGAGGTATGTGAACACCATAATGGCTACAGTCCGTTTTTAAAAGGTGGAGTGCATTTTTAAATGTACCTCTTTTTCATCCTTGAATAACACAAAACTCTGAAAAAAAAATGAGGTTCAGATTTTCACACATCACACCCAAAATTATTTTGGACTAATTCCAAAATAAAAACTTTCGCCCGGGGAAGAATTTTTGTTTCAAAGATACAGACCACCGTGGATTAAAAACGCCTACTTTGCAACCCTAAGCAGGGAGTTAGGCACCGCCAGGTTCCGCTGTGCTGGTGGAGGAGGCGCGTTTAAATGTCTGCTTAGGCGCGACGGCGCTGATTGGTCGGCCTTGCCATTTGAAATCCATTTCCAGCTGCCCTTTGCAGAATTGGGACACTTAGCTGCACGTTGAGTGCTCTGCAGGAACCCAGGGCTGCTCTTGGGTCTGGGAACGCTTAGCTGTGATGGAGAGGGAGAGCCCCCATCCCTCCAGATGGAGCCCAGCAGCTCACTGGAGAGGGGGGCTGGGGGGGGTGGCTTCTAACTGGAACCAAAGGTTTTCTGTCAGGGCTTGACTGAAAGATGGTATCTTCATCAAAGGGATTGAAATTTCACCTACTAACGATTGCAGTGACATTTCCTAACTGCCAAGTTTGCACATTTTTTAAAATATCACCTATTTGCACTTTGGTGCGTACATTTTACATACACGTACAAAATGGGCTTCTGGTTTGTTTTTGTTTGCTTGCTTTTTGCCAGGAGTAGAGATAAAATTCTGAGGACGAAGGTAAGCAAAAGTCACCTAGGATTTCAGTCAGCTAGCTTATTTATATCGATCGTTATATCTTCCATTTTTTTTTCTTTAATAAACGGAGGCTGGCAAGAAGGGAATTCCAAAATTTTATTTTTGTATAAACCCAGAATCTAAGAGAAACACAGAAAAATTGAGGAAGGGGGAAATGTCTTATCAGTTGCTTTCATATCATTTTGCTTTCAGACTACTCAACCCTGTCTGAATTTATACAGAGAAAGATATAAAACGAGTATTGTATCGTTTTGCTTAAGTTTTATATACTTCCATTCTATGGAAGCTATACTTTTTTCAAGTTGCTGTATATTTTCTGTGGCAAGACATTAAAATTTGTTTTCATCTTTAAAGTTATCAAGTGATTTTATTATTTAAAATAGTGGCCCTATACATCCTCTTTCTAAAGTAAAATGGTTAGATTTTTTTTAAAAGAAACAGGTTTTTTACACTTACATTTGAGTTTATTCCCCAAATTTAAGCTTCTCGTTTATTTCTCCTTTATTTTACTATATATTACTCATACATTCAAGTTCTAATTTAAGAACTTCCAGGTGGTTTCTGTCCACATTAAACTGTTCCTTTTCTTCTTCTGCACCTACTATCAAATTGAACAATTAGCACCTTGGTTGTATATGTTAACAAGGTTTCTAATTATCTGTGACACATGCTTTAGGTTAGTGTTTAGATCAGGTCACTCATTAATGGGTAGTAAAATCAATTTAGTGGACCCAGGACACCTTTTTAAAAAATAAATAGAATAGGACAGAGAATAGCACATGTAAATTTTCCGTTATAGTTACATAGTACACATGTATAAAATTTCTTGTAAGATTTTTTTTTTCACTTTTTAACATCTTGGAAATTGGGATGCATCTTAGAGTTCAAGGTATCTTAGCACTGGCTTATTACATACTAGGCAGTATCATTCTTATTTTAGTAGTACCCATGATATTGGGTATGTCATAAGCATATGTAAAGTGGGTTACAGTGCAACATGTTTAAATGTCACTCACTTAGACAGTTATGAGATATAGGTTCCTTTACAATTCCACTAAACTGGAGTTCTGTGACGTGTGATGTTTTAGTAAATCACATCTCCTCACAGTTTCTCAGTGTCCTCGTTTCTAAAATGAAAGATCAGGATACGCTTCCAATTCTAACAGACTGCAAAACACAAGTATGATATATTTGATATATTATGAGAACCTTTGTAGCTGCCACAATGTACCTCTACACAGCACAATAAAAAAAGAAGTAAAACAGCAACAACAACAAAACCGTATGATACATTGCTTTCTAATTGCATCATGATTATATGTCAATTGTTTGTATGTTCCCTGGAGACAGGTAGTACTTCTAACACCTCTTTTTTATACTAGTTTTGTCTAGATATTATTCACTTTGTAACAGATTTTCAACAATTACTTTACTAATTGATTACTATGACAAAGGTACTTTTAATAAAATAGCTATTTTACAAAACGTACCACACAGAATGAGAAAAGCATTATGTGTATTAAAATATCTCCAGAATTCTGTTGACTTTATCTGTGATAAGGAGGTTGAGATTCTCAAAGTGTACTGACCACATTATATTTACATTTTAATATTTTCATAAATTAATGGATAATTTAATGATTTTCTCAGATTATAAATGATTGAATTCATTGTGGATGTATTTTATTAGATATTTGTTATAATCAGGTATTTTGAAAATTTAATCTATATAGGGTCATAGAAAAAGTAACTATTATTTTATTAAGTGGAATTATAAATATATATATAATTTTACAGAGAAAAATCCATCTAGGACAAACTAAATATGCATTCTTGCCTTCAGAGCCTGTATCATTTTGCTGAAGAACATATCATATGTTTTAGAATGAACACATTTGTACTGCTTAACAATTTAAAAGTTACATCTCTTTAAATATGTTTAGTATTTAGTGAATATTCTTAGATTACTTCTAAGAGTTTCCCTACAGTGTCAACAGAAGTAATATATGCTACCAAGTTGGCTTCTTTTTCTAATTTTTTTCCTGATAAGCTTCCTACTTCTATAGTCAGAGGATCACCAAACAAAATCATCAGCACAAACGCACTCACTCACCAAATGAACGCTGGGTTTGAGTGAATTGAATGTCTATTGACTTATTCTCTCAGGACTCAGGAATGTAATTCTGCTAGAATTAAAGAGAGTCTCTTAAAAAAATACTAAGTGTTCATCTAAAATCTATTTACTTATTATTTTAAACCTTCTATTTATCCTTATAAGTGTTTATTCTCCTCGCCAGTCCATAGTTCATCCAACAATTATTTATAAAGCATCTAATATGTGTGAGGATTGACTGAAATGATGGAAACAGAACAAGAATTAAAGAGTTTCTCTTCATCTCTAATGTATTGATGTTACACAGTCAGTCCCAAATAATCTCAGTGTTCACATATGATCAATCAGCTTTGGACAGCAAGAGGAATGTGGTCTTTGAAATCAGAGTTAGGCATGGAAAGGATGGGAGGCAGAAC